GGGCAAAAGCACAAACAGGATACAACCCTCTGTCTCCATGAACTGAGTGAAAGAGAATGTAAAATAAAATAATTCAGGACAAGCTCTATGATAATGGCACTCAAAAGGGGGCTATGGGAACATAAAATTGGGGACATTTACATAACTAATTTCTTCATCAATATAATGGGCGTTATCCATTGCTGCCTCACAAGGCTGTTGGGAGGACTTGTGTTACACATGTGAAAGGACAATGGGAAACTACCTTACAAATGAACAGCCTAATTCTGGGTGGTATTAATGGAAATAAGAAATGCCTTGCAGATGTTACCATCAGGCATAGAGAAAAGACAGAAAGACAGGTCTAGTGGTACACACTGTGCAGAGAAAAGAGCAAGACTCTATCTCAAAATAAAAAATAAAATAAAAAGGACTGGGGATGTAACTCAATGGTAGAGTCCTCTGGGTTCAATTCCTAGCACAAAAAAAAAAAAAAAAAAAGAGAGGCAATAACAAGAAACTGAAAAGTTTAAGAAAAAAAAAATCAAGTAAAGAAAGCAGGTGAGACCATAGCTCAAGGAGAAGTGAATACAAGATTTCATCTGATTGAGAGAAGCAAGCACAGCACAGCACAGCAATCTTTACAGATGGGAAACTAGAGGCTTGCCTACAACCATTTGCAAGAAACAGAGGTGATATGAAGATAGTCTGTCTAAGCTTAAAGACACTCTCGTTGAGAAGTCAGGCTTCTTCTTCTTTTAAATTTTTTTTAAGTTGTAGATGGACACGATACCTTTATGTGAGGATTGAACAAGTGATTCACACATGTGAGGCGAGTGCTCTACGACTGAGCCACAACCCCAGTCCAAGAAGCTATTTATAAGGTTAAATCACCAAAATCACCATCTTTTAGTTTCCACCTGCAATTCCAATTCCTTTCTTCAACAGAATCCTAAATCCCAGTGTTCAAACTCTGGCAGATAAAAGCAATGTATTTAAAGGGGGGAACGTTCATCATGTAGAAGAACATCTGTAATGGTATCTCCCAGAATTCATCATGAAATAGCATTTGAAATCCTAACCCTTTACGCCTTAGAGTATGACTGTATTTGGAGACAGGGTCTTTAAAGGAGTAACTAAATTAAAATGAGATCTTTAGGATGGGTCCTAATCCAATATGTCTGGTGTCAAAATATGAAAAGGAAATAAGGTTCAGAGGGACAAATCATGTGAAGACACAAGGAGAAAATGCCATTTGCAGGTCAAGGACAAAAGCCTTAGAAGACACCCACCCTTGATCACAGACTTCCAGCCTTCAGAACTAAGAAATTATTTTCTGTTGTTGAAGCTACTCAGTATGGGGTACTTTGTTTTGGCAGTTCTAGCAAACTAATACACCTTCCTACTAACATTAGCTGTCACAGAATCAGAGGACATATGCATCTGCTGAGAATACAAACAGAAAAAAAAAGTTTCTTTCTAGAAATAAAGACCAAACCCTGAAGTAAAAAGTGAGTTAGTGGCTCCGTCTCTGCTTTTAAAACAATCTGACCAGGTTGGTGGTGACTCACGGCCTTATCACACACTAAGCTTTCTTCCCTAACACACTTTCAGTTCCTCCAGAGCAGGGACTGTCAACCATCCATTTTGCTTTCTCTGCCATGTGGCATCACACTCAACACACAATAGGATCTACATGTACATATACTGCTTTTTACTATTGCTGAATAAACAACAACAAAAGGTTTACTTGAGAAAAATAAGAGACTTCTTCCCCTCTTGCATTTTAATTTAGGCCACTGAACAAAGATTTGAACTGATCCAGGTTTCTTCAAACTGTTCACTTATCCCTACTCAGGCTAAGGCACCATGGGATGAAGCAGTCAAACAGGACCATTTCATGCTGCCATCCTGGAAATGGATTTTTACTTCATATATTGCCACAGTGTTCCTCTAAAACCTCCTTTGGATCCATTATGTCATCTGTGTACATTCTGGAGCAGTTACAATAATAATGCAAAGTCCCACAGAAATAAGATTTTTAAAATGTTATGTAGTTACAGTGAATATGCAGTAAACACTTCACCAAAGTGAATAACAGTCCTTTACCATTTTAAAGGAAAGAGAAAAATACCAAATGGGGTTAATTCACATTATGGACTAATGGCCTGTAAACTTTCGTTTGAAAGCAAAGCACAGAAAAAGCTTTGACAGAGCTACTTTTCACTGTAAAAATAAATAAACCTCTTTCAAATAATTTGTACATGATTTTTCCAAGTCAAATTGCCAACTTTCAAACAAAAATTAAAACCACCATCCAGTTACAACCCTTAAAATATGGGCTTTATAATGGAAATGGTAAAACAATCTCAGCGAAGGAAATGTTGCTAGGGTACTGACAGTAAAGGAGAGTCTACAGTAAATACTTCACACTCTAGTTACAGGGCACTTGTTGACAGACAATACTTAGATTCCACTCTTAATGATATAACTCTGTGTAACAACTATCACTTTTCACAGGACTTCTGCTGTTAATGTCTACTGGTGTTCTGGCCTTGGTCCAAATTGAATAAGTATATTTGCCTTCTGGTTCCCACAGATTTTAAATTCATTTTTATAGCATGTTTCTCTTGAAGAGCAAATCAGAAGAGAAAATTTCATTCTAACTTTTAAAGGGACAAGTGATTTTATATATACTAATTTAAATGTATGGATTTCCTCTCTATTAATTGTTCTCTGCACTATAGGCTGCACATCAGAATTACCTAGGAATATTTTCTAAAAGTTATACCTTCCTAAAATTTTACGTCTCACCTTCAGAAATAGAATTTGTGGGCACAGGAACCATGCCCCAAGAAACTCTTGGGAGGCAGCTTATAGCATATCATGTGTTAGGAAACTTCTGCTCATGGGTCACTGGTAAGCATGACCCAGAGTTTCAGTTTAAATCCCACTGCTAACAAATACCATAATACCAATTAGCATCACTGTAGGATCTGAAAATGCTCTGAGCACATAAATATCAGCTAACTGGCTCCTTCCTAAACTATAACTTAGGAATAATAAATAAGCAAGAGGAAGTTTAAAGAAAAGTTTCAACAGTTAAAATTCAGTAAATAAAATAAAAGGGCTCTCAGAACATTTCATGAAGTTCCTTCTGTCAGACACATACATTTTGTACTCTTCTTTTTAAAAAAATTCCTTTAGCCTTCTGACACATAAAAGAACTTGTCAATAATTCTCTTAGTACCATTTTTTTGCCCTAACTGCTGGGTAGTGTATTTATTAGAAATAAACAACAAAAAAATGTGTCCCCATTCTTAAACCCACTGCAAAATGGGACTACAATAAACTGAGTATACGGATCCCGACAATACTTCTCCTCTTTTGCCAAGCAAGAAGCTTCTAAGTGGCCACTATATTCCCTCCCATTGTCCCAGGAAGCAATCTATACCCCTCAATGTTCTCCAAGAAGGCAGAATAAGTTCACAGTGACTTTCCAGATCACTCCTCTCTCTCCATGACTCCAAGAGTCACCAGACTTTTTGAAAACCGCTCTTCACAAAAGACTGATTCACTTCCCAAAAAGGAATTTTGGAGCTATATGGAGGAGGATCCTATCCCCTTGGAGTCTAAAAACATCTAGAGAACAACCTAAGATGGCCATATTCAGAAAGGAGTCATGGGAGTGCAGGTTCTAATATACTGATACCCAGAAGGACATAACTGGCCCAATAGAAACACACAATGCTTCCATACTTAATTTTTTCAACTTATGACCACCTTTAAGGAAAGGCTTTTGGGGGTTAAAGAAAAAAGTCCATTGATGATATTCCAAGTAAATATAGGCTAGATGTTAGCCATGCATGGAAATTCTAAAACCTAGTTATTAATGGACAGAAGGAATTTCTTTTCTATATAAATTTTACTAATTCATGGAAAATACACTGTGAAGATAGCCCATCTTTGTTGAACATCTAAGGATAAGATACTAATATCCAAACCAAGTCCTGTGTCAGCTGTAAAATATTTTATATCTAAGGACAGAAAAACCAAGTTAGTAAAGGTAATTTAAGAAATAATTTCTAGCCTATCTTGGAGATGAAAAAACTGAAGTCAATTATGATTGGAATTGAAAACAGTGCGACCAAATCAAGGGCAGCATGGGGATTGTTATGTGAGGAAATACAGCAATATTTGGAGGTTTTTATATGCCGTTGAGGTTGCCTCCAGCCCTAATACCGACCAACAAAATGTTGAATTGATATTCACTGACAAACAACATAAACACTCTGTAGGTAACTAATAAGAAAAATGTGTAAATTTGCCTTTTTTATTTTTTACAGGTAATAGAAAAGTTGTCAATGTGATTTTCAGGTAGGAGAAAAAACATGCACTTGTCATGACATTTTCAAATACTTTAAGTTATGTAACAAAGCTTTTCCCAGACCCATTAAGTCCCACGGTGCCTGTAAGTCTTGTATAAGGAAACGCCAAGTGCAGAGGGTTCCAGGCAGCATCTGATCATATGGGCTGAGGTACCTATATACTCTCTTAGGATGGAGTCAATAAAAGAACTCCACCCCATCCCTCTCTTTCAAAATGAACCTAGGCTTTTAGTGAACAGCAGAGACACACTCCAGGTCTATTTTTTTTTGTGGTAATATCTGGTTTTTGTAGGCCCAATGATCACGTTGCCTATGCTTACTTTATTACAATTACTAAACTCTATAGAAAATAGCATTTTCAAAATATAGCATTAACGAGTCCTTTTTGTACTGTTCCTCCTCCAAAGCCTTGCTTTAATAGAGAACAATGTGAGACAGGCTGTGGGGGCCAAAGCTGGGGATTCCTATGCCACCGCCCCTCATGCAGGAGATCCCTCTGTTCACACAGGCCCCCACAACCTGCTTCCGAGACAGCAATGTGATGCTGCGTGAACAGCCTGACACAGTAGGTCTGGCTTTTATGATGCAAATTTCCACTTTAAACTCAAAGGTAATTACAGTATTTTAACGTACCTTTCTCATGATCGGTAATAAGTTTCTCCAGTGCATAGTCCACATCAAAAATGTACCGGTAAAAGCACAGCTGGATGTACAGGGACTTGTCAGAATA